TGACATGTTTTTACTGTGTGAAAAAGTTTTTTTTTAATCTAAGTGCGTCTCTTTGCTGTGGCTCATCAGGTGACCCTCCAGAGAAAGACAGACCCCCCCAGACCCTGCTGCACTGCTTGGAGAACAGTGAGTCCGAGGACATGGAGCCACCATCTTGTTCCACATTCACACCAGAGACTGTAGCAGGAAACTCCTTGTGCAGCCAAACGACCACAAATGCTGCTTCTGGCTTTCCCAGTTCCCAGTCATGGACCAGGTGAGCTGTGTATCTAAACGTGACATCCTTATCGACACACAGGAGGGTTCCGGGGGGTGCTGGCCTCTGGACCAGGTGGAGGTGACTTGGGCGGGAACAGTGGACTCCCAGCACCAGCAGACCCAACACTTGTGGTCTGGAATGGGGCAGGACCTTTATGAGTCTGGTCCAGGACAGCAGCAGCCCCTATGCCTACACCTTCTGCTCACGCCGCTACGCCCACCAGTGCCAGCTGCGCATCCACACGGGGGAGAAGCTGTACCAGTGCAACCAGTGCGGGAAGAGCTTCGGCCAGTTCTGCAGCCTCAAGCGCCACCAGATGGTCCACACGGGGGAGAGGCCGTTCCCTTGCCCCCACCTCCACCAACCTGAAGGTGCACCAGAGCGTCCACACCGGGGAGAAGACGTTTCGCTGTTCCATGTGTGGCAAGAACTTCTCCTTCCTCAGCAACCTGATCCGGCACCAGCCTCTGCACACTGCCATGTAACCCAAACCCTAAAACCCTAAACCAGGCATCACCAAATGGCGGACCGCGGTCCGGGCACGGACCCAGTGACGGTTCTGCCCGGACCCGTGAAAATTATATTATAATTATAATATTAGGCCTAATAAAAAGATGAATCATTCGTGCATGCGCAGCTAATTTAGTTAATACGACAGAAACGTCATCAATAGCCAAGCCAATCAAATCGATTGTTTACCTTTCAGCACCAGAGAATAGAGAGAGAGAGAGAGAGATAGAGAGAGAGAGAGAGAGAGAGAGAGAGAGAGAGAGAGAGAGGGGGGATGAGTGAAAATGACTTGTTCAAAAATGAGAAAAGTAGACAGTGAAAACTGAACCTTTAAAGATGAATGGACGGACCACTACATCCAAGAGAGAGATAGACACGCACCAACACGGAGAGCGGCCATCAGCTGCTCTGTCTGCAACGGCGCTTCTCCCACCCCAGCACACTCATAGAGAGCATCAGAAGATCCAGCACTGAGACCCAGGACCAGCACTCCTCGAGTGTCCCCTGAAGGAGGGCTAGACATGTTCTCTGTCCTGTGAGAAAGCCTCAGAGCTTCTCAAGCTCGTCACACCCTATATACTCACGGTTCAGTTCTTAGGTCTGAGTCCAGTCTGTGAGCAGCTGTTCCACCACCAACACTCTGAATGTAAACAGAATGTAAATGCGGTGAATGGCTGCTCGCTGAATTAATTAGTCCAGCTTAATGAGACCCACAGTCTTATGAAGATGACATGAAAAAGAAAAGACCATGAAATACTGTGAATGAGCTCGTTCCTCAGACTTATACTGACAGCAGCCATCACCTCCTGTCACTCTCAAGTTTCATTCAGACCGTCCATGAGATTATGAATGTCCAGTACAACACTTCACACACAGCACATCAGGAATGAAAAGGCATCCCAGCTTCTCTAGCTATGTCCACACCACTATACTTTTTTTTATTTTAATAACAATGTTTTCAAACTAAAACAATCTCCGTCTAGACGAACACATCTGAACACTGAGCAAGTGTGAGCCGGTGTAAACAGAAAGTAGATTGTCTGCTGGTTGGTTAGTTTCACAAAACACTACGAACGAGGAACAAAGACAGTTATCGCGTTAAAATACAGAATTTAACTGAACAAAATCTGCTAGTAAAAACAACAAGGTCAGTAACACATGTATTTCATTATCCATGTTGTATTCACCACTGGTAGTCGAGGCTGAACGTTGGTGTCTGCATCAGTGTTTCCAGAAGTCTCTGTTTTAGAAGTTAGAAAACTGGAGTCGTGTGGACAGGAGGAGAGAGAAACGTTACAGAAGAGATGCATTTTAAAATGAAGACATAGTAGTGTGGATGAAGCCTCTGCCTGTCCACTGTTGGACGTGATAATCTCGTCTTCTAGAAACTGTCTCAATTAAAGCAGGTTTGAAGTTCATTTCTTTAGTTTTAAACACCAAAAAATTTACTGTCAGATTTATTGTTGGATTAAAAAACAAAAAAACAAAAAACAAAGGTTAATTGTGGCTTTCAGCTACGCAAATAAATAATACATTACAACACTTGTGATAAATGCAAAGCAACAAACAGATCTTTATTTTTCTGTCTGTGTACACTTTATAGAGGCTTTTATTTTGAAATATTTACCTTTACGCTTGTGTCACCTGTCTACTGTTCTCCATTCTACAATTCAACAAGGAAAAATGAAAAAAAAAGGAATTTACAAACACCAAAATTTAACCACTTCTTCTGATTTTATGTTCTTGTTTTGTGTTTTTTATATCTGACAATAAAAAAAGAAAAAATGTCTGTTTTCTGTTTTTTTTATGGTTTCTGTTTTTACTGTTTGTCTTTTGTTTTTAAACAAAAACGAAAAAAAACAGCTTTGAATGACTTGCAGCCTGAGAGAGTCTCATCTTCCTCTCTAGCTCTGCTCTGCTGTGACGCTGCATCCTCTTGATGTCACTGTGACATCATATCTGAGTGACGCTGTGAGTGACATGGATGTTACAGACACTTATCACCTGAATAAATCACTGACGTCAGCCGTGGTTTGTGATCCATGTTTTTTCTGTTCCTTCTTAACTCACAACCTTTTCATGCATACTGATGTTGTCTGTGGATTTTGTGTCTGTGGAGTTTTTTTCAAGCCGTTTGCCTCTCGCCTGTTCCTTCATTTTCTATGTTTTATACAAATAAACTAGAAATTAACTTTGGCTGAGGCAGAGATGATTTACAGACAGAAGGAGAAACACACTTGTTTTATACATGGCTGTCACCATGGCGACAGTCAGAGGAATAAGGCTTCAGCTAACAGCTAACAGGATATTTCAGGAGAACCTTGAGGGAATTTCTTCAGATTTGGCTCAAACATTCACTTGGACTCGAGGATGAGCTGATTAGATTTTGGTGGTCAAAGTTCAAAGGTCAAAGTCACTGTGTGTCTCACCAACACGGTTTGTCTGTAACTCAAGAATTCATTAATTCGTTAATTTCACTGTGGCAGCATAATGTCTGCAAGAAACATTGTGACCATATTTCTGGTGCAGGGATACAACCACAAGCCTGTGATTCTAGTTGGATATTGTGCAAATATCGTAACGCCAACCTTTTAATGAGAGTTAATCAGAGTTTACCTGTAAACAGGATTATTAGTGGAATCAATCACTGTCATGAGCCATGTGAACAGCTCAGTGGGGATAAGAGCAAAAACCCGAATGTTTTGTGCATGTGTTTTATTGAGTGTCATGATATTTGGATGTGTCTTGTGAAATCCACTGTCAGTCCTTAAGTACAGAGAGACCAGATAAAAAGAAACAGGAGAACATCAGTGTGAATGAGTCCCAGCTCAGACCTGGTTGTGGTCACAGTCCATCAGTGGCTTTAAAGAGAGTATTCAGTGCACCGAGAAAACCTTTCTAATTGTATAATTAATAAAGATTTGAAAAGGTTTTCTGCTCGTATGAACAGAGTACAATCACACATGTCTGACAGTATGTGACTCAGTGTTTTCATATTGTGCGGGAACCTTTTGACATGGGTGAAGTGTCCTTGTTGTTGAAGCGTCACTGAAAGTGTGACTATGCCAATAAATCATATTTTCCAAGAATTTGATGTTTTGTATGTTTCATTATTGACTCCTGTCTGAAATGATACTGCTCAGCTAAATGCCTCCCTCTTTTTTCCAGGGCCAGGGACATCTGAAAAACCCGAGGATCCCTCAGAGCCAGGAGGAAAAGACTGATCAAGTTCAAGGTATCCGTCTGATTTTCTGTGGCATCCTTTCCTGTGCTGGAAGTGCCACTGAAATCACTATGTTCACTTAGTTTTTATCAAACAGGAGGAAACAGTGCAGGATTTGAGGACTATTTTCAGCTGCGGACTTTTCAACATTTGTGTTGTAGTGAGTGTGGTGTGGCAGCAGGACAGTGTGTGTGTTCACGGTGATGAAGGAACATGCCAGAGTCAGTGACACAGTGAACTCACTGACACACACACACACACACCCAGTTGCCAGCTGCTGCAGGTTGTCGTCTGTCAAACAGCTGCAGTGAATCACCACCTTCACTCTGGTTAAATTTTGATCGTCTCATCAGCTTCAGTCATGTTAGATAACAGATTCATCTTTTTGCTGTTTGCAGCCTCTGAAATAGTTTCCTGTCTTTGTGACCTTTGAACCTTTGATCTGAAGATGTCTCCCTGGACAAAACTGGGACAAAGACTTGTCTCTGTGTTCTGACATGTTATAGATGAAAGTGTTAATTGATCGATAATGAAGATGATGCTCACAGATGTTCAGCAGGGATGAACACAGCTTTAGTTTTGAAGCTTTGAGCTGACATGTTTTTACTGTGTGAAAAAGTTTTTTTTTAATCTAAGTGCGTCTCTTTGCTGTGGCTCATCAGGTGACCCTCCAGAGAAAAGACAGACCCCCCCAGACCCTGCTGCACTGCTTGGAGAACAGTGGAGTCCGAGAACATGGAGCCACCATCTTGTTCCACACATTCACACCAGAGACTGTAGCAGGAAACTCCTTGTGCAGCCAAACGACCACAAATGCTGCTTCTGGCTTTCCCAGTTCCAGTCATGGACCAGGTGAGCTGTGTATCTAAACGTGACATCCTTATCGACACACAGGAGGGTTCCGGGGGGTCTGGCCTCTGGACCAGGTGGAGGTGACTTGGGCGGGAACAGTGGACTCCCAGCACCAGCAGACCCAACACTTGTGGTCTGGAATGGGGCAGGACCTTTATGAGTCTGGTCCAGGACAGCAGCAGCCCTATGCCTACACTTCACTGCGCTAGCCTCGCCACGCCAGCCAGCCGCCAGCGAGAGGCAGCTGCGCATCACACGGGGGAGAAGCTGTACCAGTGCAACCAGTGCGGGAAGAGCTTCGGCCAGTTCTGCAGCCTCAAGCGCCACCAGATGGTCCACACGGGGGAGAGGCCGTTCCCTTGCCCCCACCTCCACCAACCTGAAGGTGCACCAGAGCGTCCACACCGGGAGAAGACGTTTCGCTGTTCCATGTGTGGCAAGAACTTCTCCTTCCTCAGCAACCTGATCGGCACAAGCCTCTGCACACTGCCATGTAAACCCAAACCCTAAAACCCTAAACCAGGCATCACCAAATGGCGGACCGCGGTCCGGGCACGGACCCAGTGACGGTTCTGCCCGGACCCGTGAAAATAATATATAATTATAATATTAGGCCTAATAAAAAGTGAATCATTTCGTGCATGCCAGCTAATTTAGTTAATACGACAGAAACGTCATCATAGCCAAGCCAATCAAATCGATTGTTTACCTTTCAGCACCAGAGAT